TAAATGTGTTTCCTTCCTAGTCCAATTCCTTCCTTTTACAAATTAGGAAACTGAGTCTCTGAGAAGTTAAACGACTTGCTCAAGATCACACAAGTAAGAAGGGGATCCAGGATTTGAACGCAGCTCTTCTTACCCCCTGAACTGCAGAAAGCCCACCTCCATGTAACAATGCAATTCATCAGATCTAAACGTGGAAGAGAGCTCAGAGACAATCTCCGCCAACTGTCTCATTTCACCTGAGGAGCGGCCAAGGACGGCAGAGGCCTCGGCCAGCTCTTCCAGGCTATTAGGTTGTGATGCTCTCAAAGCCTCTCCCACCTCTAAATCAATGAGGATGACAGGGAGGATTCCGGGCTCTACTGAGTGAGGGCTTGAAGGTTTGCCTTTCATATCCGTAAGGTCATGGGATCCTCACAATAACCCTCTGAGAATGGTGCTACAGATATTACTATTCTATTCCCCCTATTTTACAGGGGAGTAGCCTGAGGCTCACACAGCTAAGCACCATCTGACTTTACTGAATGGCATCCCTAGGACTCACTACCTAGTAGTCTGGCCTCAAGAAGGTGGTAAGACCCAGTTCTGCACTTTCCACTAAGACAATCTTTGCACAGGAAAAATATCAAACTCCAAATTAAGAAACTGATCACCACCACCGCAGAGTGACTCCAAATACACCATCATTAAACCTCAAACTGTGGGCAAAATAATAAGGGGATCCCGGCAAACACAAAGTTAAGCCCCACACGCCTTTCACTGCTCATCCGAACACTCCCCAAGTTGGAAGAAACCTCCCAAGTCCCTTCTACACAGCCCATAGCCAGCCAGGCCTCTCTGGATGCCTCAGAGAGCTCGGAAACCTCCAGCCTACATCCACCTGTGACTCCCCCCTACTCCTGGTCTTCTGGGGCCAAGCTGAATCCCCCTTCCCTCTTCCCCGCTGCCCTCACATTCACCACCACCCCCTCCCCCTTTCTCTAGGCCCAGGGTCCATTTCAGCATCTCCCAAGCGTGCATCCCCCTCTGCCATCTCTGCCACCCTCTTGGGCAACAGAAATCTGGCAACAAGACTGAAGGAAGAACTGGGCAATCCTCGATTCCACTCGGCAGGAACGGAGTGGAGGAAACTAGAAAGACCAACCATGCTGCAGAGCTAAAAATGTTCTCAGCATCGTGGACAGGTTCACCCCTTTTAAAGGTCAGCTCACAAGCACGGCTACTGCTCCCTCAATCTATCCTGACCATCGATTATTGTACACACTTGTTTTCACCTTGTTCTTATGCCTGGACAGTGATGGGGAGAGCTGGGACTGCCTTTTGCCTCTCTTTGTAGCTCGGGCCCTTAGCACAATGCCTGACTTCGAACAACTACTTCAGAAAGGTTGACTGCCTGCCTGACAAATGGATGTGCTCAAGGAAAATAATCCATTGTAAAATCTGAATTCTGTGACCACATGGATGACTATTTGAAGTCAAGAGGCAACAAGAACTTTTAGTGAACAAAGTTCATTTTACTGTCAACAGAAAGAAAAAAATGTTTTTTCAACCAAACTACATTTTCCATTACAAATTAAGACCCAGTTCATTCGTCTCATTTATGACGTAACAGAGAACTATAATGTATTCTTAATTCCACTGTTTACACAAAGTGAACTCTAAGAATATAATACATGCTTGGGAAGATATCTGCTTACTTTAAAATGCCAAGTACTACAATATATCCAAGTTACAATTTAATCCATCCCTATTCCATAAGCTCCTGGGCACTGGAGACAAAGACAAAACAAAATGAAAGAGCCCCTTTTCTCAGGGTGCTGACATTCTGGAACCTACACAGACTAGTAGCCACAGAGTATAGCAAAGGTTGATCTTAAGATAGACTGAAAAAAAGAAAAGCCAGCAGCACATAAAAGAGACTTGTCATTTCACACAATTGTCCTTCTCTGTTCTACCATGTACATGCAAATGCCCATTCAATTTGGTGTTTAAGTTCAGAAAAAGAAAGTATGCCCAACATTGCACGAAAAGGCAGGGGAACGTGAAAAGTCGTAGGAGGTGGCGTCAGAATGGTGCTGGAGGAAGCAGCTAGAGACAGAGGCACAGAGCAAGTGTGCAGACATGGCGGGCCATGTTTCCCTGACTCTTCCAAGTACGTTTTAGATCTGGGGCTACTTTCTTTTTGTGTGTGTGCACATGGACACGGAGATGGACACCCCCTCCCCCCCAACACACACACACACACACAACACACACACACACAAACCCCTCTCTGCCCCACTCCTTTCCTCTCTCTCCACATATACGTACATACATACACACACACACACACACACACACACACACACACACACACACACACACACACAGCCAAAAATAACAGGCTGCTGAGAGCTTCCAAATATTTAACCTAGAAAAGACCCCACTGACGGAACATGCACCAACTCCTACCTGACATTTCAAAAGACATCAACGTTCACCATCACGCAGCCCTAGAAATAAAGTCAAGCCCAAAAGGATGAACTGTGTCGGGCAGGAAACGGAGAGGTGAGTGGCCAGTGGACTAGGCTGGCAGGTCCAGGACTAGTGAATCATTTGACAGGGAATGTGTCAAAGTGCCTCCTCGGCTGTTCTGCAGGGACTGCATCGCCTCATCAAAAGGGATGAGCCTCACAAAGAAAGCCAGCCGGTCTGGGCAGAGAAGATTCAGGAACCAAGACCAGCCACTGTCGCTGGTGGGGAACACAGGCGCCTGCTTCTCAATGGATTCAGGCCGTCTTAGGAGGACTGCAGTGGGCAGATTTCTGGCAAGGGGGAAGGCCCACGCTTGGCAGCAACTTTTCACTCAACTGGGTGATGCTCGGCCTGCAGATCTTTTCAGCCAACCAAACGAAAATCATTTGTGCTTGCCCACTGCATTTTCCTGACGACTTCAGGGCTGCCTTGGAATCACCTAGTGCCCTGGCACACTTGCCTCTGCCTCAAAGAGTGACCCACGCCATAGTAAGAGGCCCCAGTTTTCAAAGGTACTGTCCTACCCCGGTCTGAACTGCTCCCTCCCAGAGTGTCCACAATTGGGCAATACAACACAACAAAAAACATTCACTAATACTCACTGAGATTCAGCCTGGGACAGCATAAAGAGAACCCTGGGTTCAAACCCAAGCCCCCGAAGAATGTGGGCTGTCAAGGAAAGTCAACGCACACCTCTGAGGCTCAATTTCCACCCAGGTAAAATTGGGATAGTAATACGGCCCTATCTACCTCACACAGGGTTATCAGGAGCAATGTGCTACACAAACATGGCTTATTATTTCCCTAAGCAGAACACACCAAGCCAGGCACTGGAGGAGACAAAAAGTTAAGTGCCAGGTCCTGACCTCAAAGCAGTCAAGTTAGGTGATAAAGCCAGCCGCCACATAATTATAATCCAAAAGATGACGCTGAGGTAAGTGCATCAAAGACAGAACAGAGTCCTGGGACCAGCCTTTCAAAGGTCTGCTTGGCCCACTTCCTCATTTGTGAAAGTGTGGGGCTTGAAATGAAAAAGTCAAAGGCATTTGTGAAGCCGTTCCATCAGTGGCGCCCCAGGTCCAGAGCCAGAGAATCCCTGAGCTGGAAGGAATTCAGAAGCTATCTAGTTCACCTTCCCCACCTGAAGCCTCCTCCGGAGTCCTCAACGGACAAGGCAGCTAGCTCATCCCCCTTCTGGACAGCTCCGACGGTTAGGAAGGGCTCAGTTAACAAACAGCCTTGCAGCTCCAAATCCTCTCTAGGACGTCTCTGAGCATCAAGGAGCCCCTCTGTACAAGGCCCCCAGACTCCCAGCCCACGTGTCACCCTGGACTCCTCTGCCACCCCCTAACTCAAATCTGTTGCCAACGCTCTTCCATTCCACCTACTACAAACACCTTCCTTCCTCTCCTCGGACCCAGCCTCCACCCTGGTGCAGGCCCTCAGGGGAAGGGATGCTCTCAAGTCTCTCCCCACTCTAGTCCACCCTCCGTCTATTCAGCCACTGAAGTGATTTTCTTAAAGCACAGAACCAACTATGTCACTACTCCATAAACTCCAGTGGCTCGCTATGGACAAGCAAATTCCCCGAAGGTCAAAGCCCATCCTAACCCGTGCCCCAACCCTGACACTCCCGGCTGCCCAGAGCAGCCCCCTGCCCTTCTCTGGCCTCTGGCTTCCTTCCAGTCCCAGCTAACGTCCCACCTTCTCCAGGAAGCCTTCCCTCGGCTAATTAGCCTGTTCAGCCAGTCCACTGCTTGTTTATCCGGAGTGGCTTGCATGCTGTCTCTCCCACTAGATTATGAGCTCATCGAGGATAGAAATTGTCTATTGCCTTTCTTGGGTTCCCGGACACAAGCCCAGTGCCCGGCCCACTGTAGGCGCTGAATAAAGGCTCTTTGACTGTACATGGCCCCTAAGGTCTCTGCCCACCCTTAATCCCGATACCTCTGGGGAGTCTCTCCCTGGACACATACAGGGGCCGGACGGGAGGCTTCTAAGATCCCTTCCAGGCCGGTCATGGGGCCTCCCTGCCCTTTCAGGCCCACCCCCCAACCCCAGGCACGGTCCCTTGCAGCTCTGGACCCCACACCATTCTGGGACTCAGTTTCGCCTCCCAGCCCCGACCAGTGAGCTCAGCCCCCTCACCTAGCCTGCTCTGGGGTTCAATTTTCCCCTTGCATCAATACAATTGGGGTCCCCTGCAGCTCCTGACCCCAGGCCCACAGTTTCCCCTCTGCATTCATGTAATCAGGGCCCCCCACAGCTCTTGACCCCAGGCCCACAGTTTCCCCTCTGCATTCATGTAATCAGGGCCCTCCACAGCTCTTGACCCCACAACTCCCCGGTCCACGGAATCAGTGTCCCCTGCAGCTTTCAGCCCCACTCTGGACTCAATTTCCCCTCCTAGTCCATGGAGTTGGTCCCCTGACGCACTTGACCCAAACCCAGTCCGGGCCTCAGTTTCCCCCCGAGCTCGGCCCGCTCACCTGGCCGTCCAGCTCCTTCTCCAGCTGCCGGTAGTCATTGTTCCAGACCAGGGCGTGCAGGGGGAAGAGGCTGCTGGGGCCGTCACCGCCACAGGACATGCTGAGGCCCCCGCCGGCCCCAGGGGCCCCCGAGCCGCGCAGGGGACGGCTGGCCCCGCCCGACCCTCGGCTCCCGGCCCCTGGCCTCTAGCCCCCGGCCCTCGGCCCTCAGCTCCCAGATCTGCTCGCCCGCCGCCCCCGGCCTCGGCCGCTAGCCGCCCCGCTCGCCTCCGCCCCGACGCCGGCGCGCTCCGCCCGCAACTTGTCCGTCCGAACTGTCCCAAACAGGGAAGGGCTGGGCCAAACCATCCCAGACCGGACGGGGGGAGCACTAGACCTGCGGCTGCGCGGACTGGGGCATCCCGGGGCGCTCCGGCGCCCGACGGTGAGCTTAGGAGGCCCCCAAATCCCACCGGCGTGGCCGGTCCCCTCCTCGGTGCGCGGAGGCTGGAAGCACAAACTCCTCTTCACTAGAGCCTCCAGACCTCCCCCCGGCCCCGAGCGCCCCTGTTAGTCCGTCCACAACTCGGGCTTTTCCATTGGCTCGGCATCGGAGGGGGTGGGGAGAAGGAAAAGGGTAAAACCGTTCTAGCAACCTTTGGCCCCGCCCCAGCTCCTGACGCCCCGGCGGCCATATTGGGCAAGGGCGGATTCTTCTGTGATTGGCTAAGAGCCTCTTTGCCTACCAACAGGGGGAAATTTTTAAATTAAAAGGGGAAGTCACTTCTACCGCTAGATTAGGGATGTGGATGGCTAACTCCTCAGACAGGAAGCGAAGTAACAAGCATTTAGTTAATCAATTGATAAACATTTGTTAAACCCTTGGAGATGTAAAAGGCGCAAAATACAGTTCCTGCCCTCAAGCAGTTTGCAATCTAATGAGGGAAACAACTAGCAAACAAATATATACAAAGCTAGCTATGTACAGGATAATAGGAAATCATTAAAAGGAGGCAAGCCCTGGAATTAAGAGGGGTTGGGAAAGGCTTCCGGTAGAAGGTAGAATTTTAGTTGGGATTTAAAGGAAGCCAGGAGGTGGAAACGAGTTGGTGAGAGCATTCCAGACAGCGAGGACAGCCAGAGAAAATGACAGGAGCCTAGAGGTAGAAAGAGTGTTTGTGGAACAGCCAGGAGGCCAGCGTCACTGGATCCAAGAGTACTGTGGGGAAGTAAGGTGTGAGAAGACTGGAAAGGTAGGTTGTGAAGGGCTTTGAATGCCAAACAGAGCATTTCGTATTAGATCCTAGAGGCAATAGGGAGCCATTGGAGTTCAGGGGAGGTGGGCTGTGACAGGATCAGACTTGTGTTCCAGGAAAATCACTGTGGTGACTGAATACAGGATGAATTGGAGCGGGTAGAGACTTGAAGCACAGCCTTCTGAATCTTAGGCTAAAGAGCCCCACCTCCTCCCATTACAAAGGAACCCACAGCGACTAAGGGTGTAAGGGCGTGGAAACTGACTTGTTACTGTTTAGTCAAGAGGGGGTGGAAATTGACTCCTTCTTGTTGTTTGGGGGTGGGGGGGTAGAAATTGACTTCTTGTTGTTCAGTCCTGGGGAGGAATGGAAATTAACTTGTTACTGTTTAGTTCAAGAAGGGATGGAAATTGACTTGTGGTTTGTCTCCCCTCCCCAAGCAGGAAATGGACTTCTTGTTGTTGTTTGGGAGGGGAGACATTTACTTCTTGTTTAGTCTGGGCGGGGGGGGGGGGGTTAGAAATTGATTTCTTGTTGTTGTTGGGTCCTGAGGGGGTGGAAATTGACTTTAGTGGGAAATTTGTTGTTTAGTTGTGAGGGAGTGAAAATTGACTTTTTATTTTTGTAGTTTAATGTGGGGGGATGAAAACTGACTTTTTGTTGCTGTCGGTTTTTGTGGTGTCTGACTGTAATCCTATTTGGGGTTTTCTTGGCAGAGATATTGGAGTGGTTTGCCATTTCCTTCTCCAGCTTATTTTGCAGATGAGGAAACTGAGGTAAACTGGGTTAAGTGACTTGCCCAGGGTCACACAGCTACTAAGTGTCTGAGGCCAGATTTGAACCATGAAGCTGACTACAAGCCAGGCACTCTATCCACTGTGCCACCTCGCTGCCCCACAAATCAGTTAACCCAGTATCATAAAATGTAGAATGCGGAAGATTCTATGTTTGAACACAGATCTCAAACTCCCAAAATGCCTGGCTTTCATGACTGTTTTCACTGCTTTGGCTTTCCATCACAGCCACTTTGGAGAGCACAGCATTGTTTTTCATCTGGCCTTCTTTGACGGAAAATTGATCTGAATTAAATTTCAGCTGCTCATTAGACTAGCCTGTCTGTGGCTGTTGTTTCCCAGCTGCCCATGATTAACTATGCTATGCTCTTTGCTGCTGTTCTCAGATGTATTCATAAAGCATTCCTTCTGCCCTGCCTGCTTCAGCTCTAGACACAACAGCTGGTTGGGAATCCTGCTGTAATCCATTCTCCACACAACAGATCCAGAGCCATTATGTTTCCCTGAGCAGTGCCTCAATGCTTGGAAACCAATCATAATAACTGACATTTATACAACCCCTTAAAGCTTTCGAAGCATGCTATGCACATGATTACATTTGAGTCTCGAAACAATCAGATGAAGTGAGCAGTTCAAATATCCCATTTCACAGATGAGGAAACTGAGTCCCTGGCCACGTAGTCCAGATCCCTGGAGTTCTATGACCTCATAGACTACCTGGCCACTCCTAAGTCCCTCCCATCGTCTTTCGGTATATAAGGTCCATCATCTCTCCGTTAAGGTGCTCAGATTTTTGCGATCTAGCCAATAGCTCACAGACGCTCAGATTCCTTAAGAGTCTGGCTAACATGGGGGCAGCTAGGTGGCACAGTAGATAGAGCACTGGCCTTGAAGTCAGAAGGACCTGAGTTCAAATCCGGCCTCAGACTAAAAACACTTGACACTTACTAGCTGTATGACCCTGGGCAAGTCACTTAACCCCAATTGCCTAAAAAAAAAAAAAAGAGTCTAGCTTATATGGCAGATCTTTAACAAACCTTGCCTTTGGCTGAAAGAAGGCTGGGGTTGAATTCTTTCGGACAGGACCCGCATGTCGTGATTTTGGGGTCCCAGCACCGCTAAACCTCTAGACCTCATCAGTCAGATATAGATCAGGACAACTGCTAGGCCCTGAAGATACAAAGACAAAACAAGGCACTACCTGCCCTCAAGGAACTTCCTTTCTACTAGGCATATATGACATGTATCTATATGTTGTATAAGGATTGGTTGAATGAGTTGTGGATGTTTAGCTTAGGAAAGAAAAGAAATATTCAAGAGATTTTCATTGAGTTGTTTTCGGTCATGTCCAACTCTTCGTGACCCCATTTGGGGTCTTCTTGGCAAAGATACTGGAGTGCTTTGCCATTTCCTTCTCCAGCTCATTTTACAGATGAGGAAGCTGAGGCAAGCAGGGTAAAGTGACTTGCCCAGGGTCACACATCTAGCTAATAAATGTCTGAGGCCAGATTCAGGTCCTTCTAACAACAGGGCCAGCCACTCTACCCACTGTGCCACCTAGCTGCCCTTCAAGAGAGAGGTGTCTGCAAATATTTGAAAGGCAGTCACTTGAAGGAAGCTTTGTTCTCTTTGGCTCCCGTGTGGGGAGAACCAGAAGTCCACAGCCAAATTTAGCCTTTGTATCAGGGAAAACTTGGTCCCTGATTAGCGCTGTCCCCAAGGGATGATGGCTTTCCCATCCTTGGAGGTCTGCCAACCGGGCAGCCATTTGTCAGGGAATTAGCAGGAGGAGCCCTTGGTCACATAAGGGTTGGACTGGTTGGACCACTCAGGTCCCTTCCAGCTCCGAAATGTGATTCTAACTGCAGCATTGACCACGCTGAAATGCTCTCTCTACTTTCTGCCAACCGTGTGCACTATTTCAGTGCTCCAGATCTTTGAGGACAAAGAAGCCACTTTTGGCTGGCCAAGTATGACTCAATCAATGCTGGAAGACTTGAGTGCTGTGGAGATGATGAAGCACCCCCTTCTTTGCCATAAAGCAGGAAAAGCTGATGGATAATAATGACAATAATTATAACTGATATTTATATGGCACCTACTACGTGCCAGGCAATGTGTTAAGACAGTACTTTATAAATATTGTTTCGTTTGATCCTTACAACAACCCTGGGAGATAGGTATCATCCATATTTTACACATGAGGAAACTGAGGCAGACAGCGATTAAGTGACTTATCTAGAGTCGTACAGCTAACAAGTATCTGAGGCTACATTTGAATTTAGGTCTTCCTGACACCAAGGCCCAGGGGTCTAACCACTGTACCCCTAGCGGTACCTCCTATATCAGTGGACCTTTAAAAGGGGGAGTGACTCTTTTCTTTTTTCCATTTCCTGTGTGGCCAGTAGTACTCTTGAAGGGGCTGCCCTTTCTCTCAGCCCAACAGAAGCATCAAACTTTGAGCACATGGCAACTAAAAGAACATATCTCACCTAGGCAGGTGTGAGTCTGCAATATTTATTCTTTCCCAGGTACAGAGGACTGAACAGTAATCCTGGGATGCATGTGTCCTATCTCAGCAGGCAGGTTTGTGGATTCCCAAGGTTTAGAGCTCCTGGGTCCCTGATCAGTCCAGCAGCAGGAGGTTCTGCATCAGAAAGGATCTCACCCATAGGAGGAGGAGCTCAGCCATTGGCCTGGTTTACCAGACGACATGAACCTGAAGGGAGTGTTTGGACAGTGCAGAGCTGAGGTGAAATGTAACAATGTCTTTTTAATGGTCCCACAAAGTGCTGCATGTTCTGATGTTTAAGTGTGTGCTTCCTGGGAGAGTAGAACAGTGGTTATTACTGCTGTTTGTTTCAGTTTCTGTCAAAGTGCACTGGTAAGAGGTTTTTTTGGGGTAGCATTTCTTTTGCATGGTGGAAATAAATCCCTGTCCCATATCTGATTTACATAATTTACAATTGTGCATTGAGTAAGTTTCTACTCTACCCTTTGGCGAGACCTGAGTCAAAGCCTATGTTTTAAGTAATTTTTCCCTAGGGAGCTAGGGTAGAGGTGGGGGGTATATATAATGAACCAAAGAATTTGAGAAAAAGAAATCTGTTTGATTTTTCTGTCCTGTGGTCAGGCTTCCCCCAAATTAAACCCCATGCAGACTGTGCATGTGAATGTGACCAGTGGAAAGAATGCTGGATCCTCTCCGTCTCAGAGGAATTGTCAACCCACAGGACAAAATCAGAGATCTCTGAAGCTCAAAGGCTATCTTAGCCCCATCAAGGTATAGAGGAGAACACTGAGGCCCAGAAGGAGTAAATGATTTGCCAAAAGATCACCAGGTGGTAGATCTGAGCCCAGGTCGTCTGCCTGCAAACCCACGGCTCGTTCCACTAGACGTTGGAGAGCAGCATTGATGTAAGAAATATTCAGTCAGTTCAGTGTTATAAAGGCTGCTGGTTACTGCTGAAGAATTCAATCCTAAACCTTCCTATTCATCATCTTATTTCCCTGTGACTAATTTAATGATCCTCATACAAGCCTGTGAGGAAGAAGAAAGGAGAGAAGGAAGGAAGGAAGGAAAGGGAAAGAAGGAAGGGAGGAAGGAAGGAAGAAAAGAAAGAGGGAAGGGAGAAGAAGAATGGAAGGAAGGGAGGGAGGAAGGAGAGAGGAGGGGGAGAAAGAATGGAAGGAAGAGAGGAAGGAAAGGGAAAGAAGGAAGGGAGAAAGGAAGGAAGGAAGGAAAGAAAGAGGGAAGGGGAGGAAGAATGAAAGGAAGGGAGGGAGGGAGGAAGGAGAGAGGAGGGGGAGGAAGAATGGAAGGAAGGGAGGAAATAAGGGATTTCCTAAGCACCTACTATGATTCAGGCACTAAGCTTAGTGCTTCACAAATATATCATTTGATCCTCACAACAACCCTATAGTTATTTGGTTGTTTTTCAGTCATGTCCAAGTCTCCATGATACCATTTGGGGTCTTCTTGGCAGAGATACTGCAGTGGTTTGCCATTTCCTTCTCCAGCTCCTTTTACAGATGAGGAAACTGAGGCCAGCAGGGTAAAGTGACTTGCTCAGAGTCACACAACTAATCTGTCTGAGGCTAGATTTGAACTCATGAAGATGAGTCTTCCTGATTCCAAACCCAGTGCTCTATCTACTCTACCACCTAGCTGCCCGTATAAGGCATTATCTCTATTTTTACAGTTGAGGAAACCCTATAAAGTAGGTGCTATTATTATCCACATTTTACAGTTGAGGGAACCAGGGCAGGCGGAGGTCAAGTGACTTGCCCAGGGCCACAGGTCTTCTTGACTTCTCCAGGCCCAGGTCTCTATCTACTGTGCCACCTAGAAAGTACCATCCTAAAGTGGGGCGGCTAGGTGGTGCTAGATAAAGAGTACCAGGTTGGAGTGAGGAAGACCTGAGTTCATATCTGGGCTCAGAGATTTACTAGCTGTGAGACCTTGGGTAAGTAACTGAATCCCGTTTGTCTCAGTTCCTCATCTGTAAAATGAGTTAGAGAAGGCATTGGCAAACGACTCCAGTATCTTTGCCAAGAAAACTACAAATGAGGGAGAGAAAAGTCGGACAAGACCGAACATGACCATCCTTATGTACAGGGATGTGACCTGCCCAAAATCTCACAAGCTGTCCATCAGCTGAGGCAGAGGAGTTCTCCTAACCAAGGGTCATTCGCTGGACTTTGCTGCTTTCTGTATTGTCCATCAGTGGGTACTAACGTCTGGATGAGACCAACTTCATGATGGGCAAGGCCAGCTAGGGAGGGAACAACCCACAGGGAAGCCAGATGGCCGCCCAAATGGATGGTGTTGTACGGGAGGTTCCAGCTCAGATCTGGCCTTCATTGGATGAGTCCTAGGATTCTGAGCTGGGAATTAGCACTGTAACGACTGACTTGGATAACAACCTCCTTGAAGAACAAACTGGCCAAATGCAGGAGGGGCGTTTGCTGAGTTTGTACTAGGGAGGACATGGACTCAGAGGGGCCCCGTTCACAGAGGCAGTTGGGTATAGTCAGGAAGACTGGAGTTCGAATCTGGCCTCAGACACGTACTGGCTGTGTCACCCTTTGTCTGTGTCATTTTGCCTTTGCCTCAGTTTCCCCAACTGTAAAATGGAGATAATAATAATAGTACCTCCCTCTTAGGTTTGTTGTGAGGATCAAATGAGGTAATAATGTAAAGTGCTTAGCACGGTGCGTGGCACATAGCAAACTCTATCTAAATGTTAGTTACTTATGTAGTAGTAGGCAATATAAATATATACTATATATTACAATATATTATAAGCATTATATAAATATTATATAGTAAGCAATATAAATATATAATGCGTTATTATATAATATAAACATATAGTAAACTATATAAATGCTAGTCATATAGTAAATACTATAAATATGTTATATAATATATAGTAAGCACTATAATGTATTATGTATTATATAATATATAGTATGTAGTAAGCACTATATAATATTAGTTATTATATAGTAAGTACTATAAATATATAATATGCTATAATATATACTATATAGTAAGTACTTTATGTTAGTAGTAGGTACTATAAATATATATTATAATATATAGCAAACACTATAAACATATATTGTATATAATATATGATAATATAATATACAATATGTAGTAAGCACTATATAAATGTTAGCTATTATCATTATTGTAGCTAACAACGGATACCAAACTGGGAAGATCTAAGCTCAAACTCTCCCATGATACTGGCTGTGTAACACTGGGTAGCTAACTCCCGGGGACTTAGCGCCAGACTGCTGCTGGGCCCCCAGGTCGGGGTGCTCAGCTATCCATCCCAGCTAAGGGGCACGAACCCCAGGCTTAGTCCTGGCACAGTTTTCCTGCTCAAGAGAAGGGTCCAGTTCCTTTTTCTCCTCACTGCCCCCTCCCAGCCGCACTCAGCATCCTGGGGAAGAGCCAGCCGTCAGGGCTGAGGTTTGAACCATGCCTGGGCTCTCCCCAAGGGGACCAGCAAGGACCCCTTCTGGATGTACAAAGTAGATCAGGTTTCTAGGTCAGCTCTTTATTCTCATCCACTACAAAAGGGATGTTTAAAACACCCAAGTTTCGTAAGCACCCGTTAACAAAGACGTAAAACAGGAGACAGTGACCTATTCCTCCTGTGCTGCTCTCCTGGGAAGTTGGTCCTTTAAGCAGTGGACATCTGGTCCGACTGTGAGGGGGCATTTGTCCTCCCTCCCCTTGGCTCTGCCTTGTCTCCACAACTCCCTGAAGGTCCAGGGCGCCCGAGGAGCCAGGCCAGGGCTGGGGTTCAAACTCCCTGCGGTGGTCATTACATCCTCAGTGCAGCTGACACTGAGTGAGGGACCTGGGAGCACCGACCTCCAGAGCTCACAAGGTCTCCTCCCAGGCTGGTAAACCCTCTGTCTCTGGACCACTAGTGGCAGAGCCTTGAGGTCTAGACTCTGCTCAGCACTGAGCCCAGATGCCAGAGGCACTGGGAGGGAGAACCTCCGGGAGTGGCCCAGAGAGGGAGAATTCCATGGCATGTTTCCAAGAGAGAAGTCATCCTTCCCTTCAAAGGAGGGGGGGGGAGAGAGAGAGAGAGAGAGAGAGAGAGAGAGAGAGAGAGAGAGAGAGAGAGAGAGAGAGAGAGAGAGAGAGAGAGAGAGGAGAGAGAGAGAGAGAAGAGAGAGAGAGAGAGAGAGAGAGAGAAGGGAGAGAGAGAGAGAGAGAGAAGGGAGAGAGAGAGGGAGAGAGAGAGAGAGAGGGAGAGAGAGACAGAGGGAAAGAAACAGAGAGAAAGGAGGGAGAGACAGAGAGAGAAAGGAGAGAGGGAGAGACAGAGAAACAGAGAGAGATAGAGACAGAGAGAGACAGAGAGAGAAAAACGGACAGAAAGAGCTAGAGACACAGAGAGACAGAAAGAGACAGAGGGAGAAACAGAGAGAGACAGAGACAGAGAGAGAGAGAGAGACAGAGAAAAACAGAGAGAGAGAGAGAGAGAGAAGGGAGAGAGAGAGAGAGAGAGAAGGGAGAGAGAGAGAGAGAGAGAGAGAGAGAGAGACAGAGGGAAAGAAACAGAGAGAAAGGAGGGAGAGACAGAGAGAGAAAGGAGAGAGGGAGAGACAGAGAAACAGAGAGAGATAGAGACAGAGAGAGAAAAACGGACAGAAAGAGCTAGAGACACAGAGAGACAGAAAGAGACAGAGGGAGAAACAGAGAGAGAGAGAGACAGAGAGAGAGAGAGAGACAGAGAAAAACAGAGAGAGAGAGAGAGAGAGATTTTTCCTGGCAAAGGTACCCTTCACTTGGTACCGTCACAGGACCAAGGACCCAACGAGAGGATTATGCACTCAGAAGTACAAGTCTCCCAGCACTGAGCTGACCCCAAAGGCCGTCCCAGCCTCAGATACTTATTACCTGCTGTGTGGCCTGGGTAACCTTGGCTGCCTGTATATCCTGTATATAGCTTGCTTTGTAGATATTTGCTTGTATGTTGTCTCCCCCATTAGATTGTAAGCTCCTTGAGGCCAGGGACAGTCTTTTGCCTCTTTTTTTATTCCTAGCACATAGTACAGTACCTGATACATGTTTAATACATGATACATTACTAAATGTTTATTGAATTAAATTGACTTGCCTTTCTGTAAAATGGGGATAATAAAAGCACCTACCTCCCACGGTGCTTGTGAGAATCAAATGAGATAATAATTACAAAGTGTTTGACCCTTATATTACATTAAAGCGTCTGGCGTGTGGTAAGTGCTATATAAATGCTAGTTCTTCTTCCTCCTTCTCTTTCTCTTTCTCTTCCTCCTTCCTCTTCTTCATTATCATTGTGGTCAGAGTTAATGAGGGGAGGTAACACTCTGCTCATCACCACCAGGACTTGGCCTGAGTGTCCGGTGGGAATCCCCCCCTCACTGTGACATCACAGCCGTTCTACCCTGGCTCTCCCGACTTGGCTCATAGGGTCAGAGATTTCAAGTTAGAAGGACCTCAGAAGACATTCAGTCCCATACTCTGCAGAGCGTAAGCCTCTGGTCACAGATGAGGAAACTGAAGCCAGAAGAGTCAAGAAGTGACTTGTCTAAGTTCATGAGTTTTCATGAGATCATAGACTTGGCCTGGAAGGAGACTCCAAGGTCATTTAATTCAACCCCTTCCTAATTCCCCAGCCTTCTCTCTGCTAATTATTTCCTATTTATCCTGTACAGAGCTTGCTTTGTATATATTTCTTTTTCTTTTTTTTGGGGGGGGGCAATTGGGGTTAAGTGACTTGCCCAGGGTCACACAGCTAGTAAGTGTCAAGTGTTTGGTCTGAGGTTGCTTTTGAACTCGGGTCTTCCTGACTTCGGGGCCAGTGCTCTATCCACTGCGCCACCTAGCTTTCCCCTGTATATATTTCTTGGCTTGTTATCTCCACCATTGGACTGTAAGCTCCCTGAGGGCAGGGATTGTCTTTGCCTTTTTGTATCCCCAGCCCTTAGCACCCTGCCTGCACTTAGTAGGCGCTTACTGAGTTGAATTACTTTAAGATCACAGGGGTAGTAAGTATTCATGTGATCATAGCTTTGGACCCGGAGGGTGTCTCAGGGGTCCTTTAACTCAAGCGGTCCCTTTTACAAATGAGGAAACTGAGGTCAGAGAAGTGAAGTGACTCGACCGAATGGGATACAGGCATTCAGCACCAGGGGCGGGATCTGAACCCGGACCTTCTGCCTCCCAACCCGAGTTCTTTACACTACACTGGTTATTTCTGAGGACTCAAAAGCGTTTTTCGGGAGCCCCAAGCTGCCGCCCCCTTTCTACTTCGGCGCTTCTTGGGGGACGGCTAGCTCTGACATTCCCGGAATCCGCCAGAAGCAGCCGGGAAAGGGCGTGGCGGCCGCCCTGCCCTTACCCAAGATGGCGGCGGGCGGCCGCGCGCCGCTTCCGGCCACGTGACGGGCGCCCCGCCTTCGGGCGGGGCGGTGGAGCGGGGGCGCCTGCGCGCTGCGCCTGCGCGCTGCCCAGGGGGAGGTGCCGCTGCCGCCGCCGCGGGGCTGCCAGGGCTGCCGGGAGCGGAGCCGTCGGAGCGGAAGCGCCCCCGCCGCCGCTGTCGGGGCGCCCAAGGCGGGAGCCATGTCGAAGAGGCTGCGGAGCAGCGAGGTGTGCGCCGACTGCAGCGGCCCCGGTGAGTGAGCGGCCCGGGCGGGCCGGGCTGGGGGCGCCGCCTCCGGCCCGTCCGGCGGCGCCCCCCGGGGCAGCCGCGGGGAGGCGGGAAACGAGCGGGGCCGGGCCCAGCCCGGGCGGAGCCCGCGGCAGGTGTCAGCCGAGGGACCCCGGCGTCCGTGCCCCAGCCGGGCCGAGGGCACCGGAGGGACCGACCCCCGGGGGAAACTGAGGCCTGGAGGGGGAGAGATGGCCGGACCTCGGAACCAGAGCCGGGAGGGCCCGAGGAGGCCGGTCAGCCCATCCCCCTTGTTGTGGAGGGGGACTCTGGAGCCCCTAGGGCTGGGCAGGTCGGCAAGCACTTAATAAGCGCCTACTATATGCCAGGGCCCGAGCTAAAGGCCTTGGGATGTAGAATAGAGCAGGAGGAGGAAACTGAGGCTGGAGAGGGGAGCCGTGCAGGCCTCTTCTTGTAGGAGAGGGAACGAGCCTCCGGCAAAAGCAGAGGGAAGTGGGGGGCTGGGGGAGGTCCTCGGATCCAGCACCCCCACTCTGAGCAGGCTGGGGCCGTCTGGTGTGGCACCCTGCCCTCCCTTGCAGATGGGGAAACTGAGCCAGGAGGGGCCCTGAGGTCACCCAGGTTAAATCCCCTCACTCTACAGATGGGGAAACTGAGCCAGGAGGTCACCCAGCCAGAATCCCCTGTCTTTACAGTGGAAGAGACCTTAGGTATCATTTTGGCCAGGGTTACGTAAGCTGGGGGCTGGGGATCCCTGAGGTGTTCAGGGATAAATTTCAAGGAGTCTATGAACGTGGACGGGAACAATTTCATCTTTATTTTCACTCCCCTCTTAACTAAAATGCAGCGTTTCCTTCAGTGATTTAGAAACGTTCTGAGGAGGGGTCTCTCGGCCTCCCCAGAGTCCCCCCCCCCAAATCTAGAGCAGGAGAAGAATGAGCATTCCCATCTCCTCCAGCCTCCTCCGTGTACGCTGAGGGACCTTCCATTCCCTTACTTGACTGATGCTACCAAGAACCTCAAAGATCCCCTTATTTTACAAGGGGCCATTGAGGAAAAGGGACCGGGCCTTTGGTGCCGGGGGCCCTGCCCAGGCAGCAGACTCTGTGGAGAGATCAGAGCAGCCTCTCTTCTCTGTCAAATCCTCCCAACAGTCAGGTAGGCTGTCCATTTTACAAATGAGGAAACTGAGGTACCTTGAGCCAAGGGCTGTGTTAGCCCAGGAATTTGAATCAGGGGTTTGGGCTTATGATCAGGGCTCCTTTCCCATTATCTTCAATGAATCAACAGATTTTTATGAAGCGCGTCTCACGTGCCAGGCACGGTGCTAGGTGCCGGGGATCCTGAGTTCTGGCATTCTCTGGGAAAGTGACTTCATCGCCTCACAAATGGGTCTGATCCGGCTTTGACATCTTAGGATCGGCTGGCACTGGGGTTATTTACCTCATTGGTGTTCTGAGCCAACCAGATAGACAGGAGAGAAAAAGATGGCCTCATCAGTTATGAGAGCTTATTTTTTTCAACGTGTGTTTTTTGTATTTATTAGTTTGTTAGCTGTCATTGCCTTCTGGGCTTGTGAGGTTTTCAGAGGTTGTTGGGTTTTCTTTTCATCACTGTATGAGGGTCACCTGTTTATTTTAAAATAAATATTTTGTTGTTGTTCAGTTGTTTTTCAGTTGTGACCCACTCTCCGTGACCTCATTTGGAGTTTTCTCAGCAGAGATACTGGAGTGGTTTGCCCTTTTCTCCCCAGCTTTACAGATGAGGAAACGGAGGCAAACAGGATTAAGTGACTTGCCCAGGGTCTCCCATCTCCTAAATGTCTAAGGCCAGATTTGAACTTAGGAGGATTCACTGCTCTCAAAGGTGTGCTCAGCTTTTTCCTTCACTAGACCAACCTGTATGTCTCCTCACTTTTTCTCAGCCAGACGCCCCGGGAACACTACTAAACTCTCTAGTGGTTGCCTGTACTTCCTCAGTTCTCATCCCTCTTGCCCTTGCAAACTGGCTTCTGATCTCATCACCCAAAGGAAATTGTGGTCTCCAGTGCTATCAATTATCTCTGAATTGCCGGATCTGATGGTCTTTTCTCCGGCAGCATTTGATAGCCCTCACCTCGCTGTCCTGCTTCTCCTCCCTGCCTGCCCATCCTCAGTCTCTTAGTTCATCCCTCCTGCCCTCGCTGGGGATCTCCTCCCAAGCTCTGACCTGGGGCTTCTTCCTCCCTTGGTACTTTCTGCCTTGGTGATCTCATCCGCTCCATTATCATCTCCCAGCACGTGACTCCCAGATCTATCCAGCAGCCCCAGGGCCACTTCTGCTCCTGTCTCTGGGACATTTCATCCTGGGATCTCAGACTCAGCCCATCCAGACAACTCAGTCTGGATCCTGGAACCGGCCTTCCCTAGGCACCGACATCCCTGCCTCTTTCCTCATTGTTCTGGTGTGCAGGTACGAAGCTCCTCACCTGTCATCCACAGTCAGTGGCCACGTCTTCTGGCTCTCCAGCGTAAAGTGCAGAGTGAACTCTCTGATTCCCTACTCTGTAAGCTCCAGGGGTTCTCTGCTGCCTTGAGGATAAGATATCAACTCAGTTTGGCTTCTGAAACTCTTCAGAAGTTTGGCTGGCCTTGGCCCACCTGCCCAGCCTCTGTTAGTGCTCCTTTCCCCATTCTTGGCATTCTGGCCAGCTTGGCTGGTCCCCCCCCCATGCCCAGGATGCCTTCCCTCCTTCCCTGGGCCCCAGAGAAGCCCTTAGCCACCTTCCCAGCGCCACCTTCTGCAGCGGTCTCATTTAGTTTTTATTCTGGATGTAGTCATCTATGTGCACATGTCCATATATGTGTGTGTGTGCATACGTGCATACATGTTTATGTATGTGTGCATGCTCACGCACACACATTGTCTCTCCCGATAGAGTGTATGTTCCCAGAGCAGGAGACTCCGGTGCAGCAGGTCCCGACTTGTAGGAGGTTAGGTTCTTGTTGATTAATTGACGTCATTGATGGATGCGGTGAGATGGGATTGTAGGAATTATAGGATTTAAATTTGGGAGAGGGCATAAGGGACCATTTCAAAGGTAAAGAAAGTAAGGCCCCAGGAGGCGAAATAGTTTGATGTAAATTTCACAGACTAGGAAGTGGCCAGGCCAGAATTTGAATCCTGACCTTCTAATTCTTCACCGAGGCCTCCTTGTTGGCCTCTCTGTCAGCCTTCCCCCCTGCAGTCCTTTCTTTGGAGAGGGCTAGAACACTCCCATCCATGAGGAGAATTTGCAGTTTAGAGTTCAAGACATCTTCCATTTGACTTTGCATTGGGACGTGGCTCCATCTGCCTTTGGGATCGGATCATTGTACGCTGTTTCCCACCCATATCCCTTCCTGAGGCAGGAGACTCAGGGTAGACTCCGAGCCCAGTCCTCTCCAAAATGAGGATTTTCCATGAAATCCTTGGACATCAGTATTTCTACACCCATTTTTAGAACTTCTTTCTTGTCATTTTGAAGCTTGGCCTGGGCTTTGAAATGGGCCTGAGTTAACTAAAACCTCATGTGGCCGTATGAGTGCATGTCCAGGACAAGGGGGTTATCCTTCCCTTTGAAGAGAGGGAGGGAAAGAGAGGCCAAGTTTTAAGAACGGCTGTTGCAAGAACTAAATGAGATTGGGTCCAGGAAGTGCATCTGACCAAAAATGCCTTTATTCGCTGAATTACAGTTCTCTGAGTTCAGCTTTCCACATTGCTTGTCTCTCCTTTCACTTGGACTGGAGAGATGTGTCTTGGGCTCAGCTTTCCCCTTTATTTCTGTCGGTCCTTTTTGACTCCCCAAAAGATTTCTTTGGCCAAAGAAAGATTGCTTCCCCAGCCCCAGGATGAGTGCAGACCCAGCCTTGTCCTTCTGGGACATTTTTCTGCTTTTCAAAGCCACCTCATATCCAGAATCTCATTGTCATGTTGCTGTAGGCCTGATCTGCAGGGCCTTGAGTCACTTCCTTCCTGTTTTGAGTATACTTAGAATACCTTGAAATGTGTGGCGAGCTTGTGGACCTGGAGATTTGGTTTCTTTTCCTGCCAGTGGGACCCAGAAGCCTTTAGTGGCTGCGGTTTAGTCTTATTTTCGAGGAGTAACTCAAGTTTCACCTGTTGAAAGAACTGTGGAGACCCTGCCTCGTGCCAGGTGATGGCTTAACCAGGAGTGGGGGAACCTGTGACCCTCTAGGTCCTCGAGTGTGGCCCTTTGACTGAATCCAAACTTCACAGAACAAGTTTGTGACATGTGGCCTCGAGGCTGCAGGTTCCCCACCCCTGGCTTAGGCCCTTGACTGCCCATCCTTTCCGCATTAATCCTGGCGTTAGCCAGAGCTCTGTGTGCTGAAATGTGGGGTGGGTGGTTTGCACAGATCTGTGTCACTGCATGCCTGCAGTTAATCCTACAGTGCAGATGTCTTTCATACAGTCACTGAATCTTGGGATTCCTTGTCTCCTGCACTTGGCAGGTGTAACAGCCAAAATAGTATCAGAGACTTGGGGAGTTAGCCACATAGGTAACCATTTAGTTTTGATTCCCAATTTTTGGCCATATTTTAATATTTTGGAGTTCTAATCAATCATTAAACATTTGATAAGCACTGTGTGCCAGGCACTGTGCCAAGTGCTGGGGATACAAAAAGAGGCAAAAGACCATCCCTGCTTCAAGGCGCTTACAATCTAATGGGGGAGACAGCGAACAAACAGATATATGCCCAGCAGGCTGTGTACAGGATATGTAGGAAATGGGTTAACAGAGGGAAGTCCTTGGAATTAAGAGGAGGTGGGGAGGGCTTCCTGTAGAAGATCGGGTTTTAGCTGGGACTTTGTTCTGATTACTACGCCTCGTTCTTGCTTCATTAAATGGCTTGACAACCCCTCTGAGATTTATACTCTTGCATCGAATGGGACAAATTTGACTTTGTTTGCTGGTCTGCCTTGTGGTCCTTGTGGGCAGTTGGGTTTTCATCACACCTGCA